TGAACATTTTCCAATAGCCACACAGACAGACTTTTTGTTCATATGCTGTTTCTCTGTGGAAGTGACAGTGATTAAACTTGGATGTCTCGGCGAGTAAAAAGCTTTGGGGTCCAAGGAACTCCTTCAGCCTGAAACAAACACGCTGCCTTTCCAGCCTTCAATGTGTGTCCCTCTAAGGACACTTTTTAGAGGGAAATCGGATTCCCACACATCATCTAATCAGTGTAAACTGCCTGTTTATATAGGTCCTTTAAATTAGTTTGCTGTCCATGCTTCTAGGAATACACAGCCTTAAATTAGCTTGCTGGTACTAAATCACTTCAACTGTCATGTCTGTCTTTGAACAGTACAGCCTGGTGTAGTGCATGTTGGCTCACTCACTGTCACGCTGTCATGGCTTATTGGGACACTTAAACAGAACAGAGCCATTGTTAATTGTATTAGGCACTCATGCTTTTCCTGCAAACTCAAGCTGTCTGCTCTGACAAAGGCCTATAATGCACATGTTTTGATACGTTTGCAGCTGTTTCCTCTGTCCTCTTGACAACATGCAGCTACGACTCTGCATGCAGACCCAGCAACATATAATAGAAATAGCACAGTTTGATCGGTATAGGTAGATACATGAAATCAGCCTCAGTGCATGCTGTGAGGTTATTGCGGGCATACTTAAATATACTATTTTTTTTGTTGTAAGTTTGCAGAACAGCACGCCAACTTCCTTTACTTTACTGAGCCATTCCCTTCAGAAGGCTGCCTGACACATGCAGTAACCTTCTCTTTGTGTATTCCACAGCTCTGCGTTAATGAATAAATGAGCATTTGAAGTGCAGATGAATCATGCAGAGTCATACCCATCACTCGGTATCCTGATCCTCTGTTGTATTGAAGAGCTGCTCAAGGCATGATTTAGACATAAAGGTAGGGTTCAGCCAGGATAAGAGATACATCTAAAGCATACTCTTGGCGTATTATCTTCCAGCAAACATTTCAGAAGAAAGTAGACACTGCAACAGATAGCCCCCACAGTTTCTTTATTATTTTCAACAGTTCCTCTTACTTCTGTGACATTATTAAAAGTAATTACTGTATATCTGCAAAACCACTACACCAAGAGAAATGTAGGTTCCTTAAGGAATGTAATGAACTAGGGCTGCAACTAACAACTATTTTGATAATCGATTAATCTGTCGATTATTTCTACGATTAGTCGGATAAAAAACTTGCCTTTCCAAATTGACAACATCAACACACAAAAACAACCCAAATGTAGGATATAAAACATATGCAAAAGTTATATAACAGCTTGTTTTGAGCAACATATATGTCCCTTTTAGGTTGCTCGAACAAAAACAATGTTCTTTCAAATTATCATCAATAATAACTAACCTAACTGTAGGCAATACAACATGGCAATAAAGATGTGTCTGTTTTTCCTTTTTTAAGTTCTAAAAAGCATACATTTTATCCCTTTTTTGTTTTCAAATTATGTGTATAATATAATTCAAAATAGTCACATATTAAATAATCTCTGGAATCTGGTGAAAAATGATAATGGATGAAGATACTTTAATATTTAGCAATTGAAAATAGTATGAAATGACATGATGAAGTGATGAAAGGACTTATCTGTCATCCTTCTTCCAGCAGACATATTTACAGTGCTGCCTCTCACCCACTGTGTTAGTTGCCAGCTGTTGGCAGTGAATCTACTGTGTAATGGTATGAGCAGCCAACTTATGGATGTCATTAGGCCCGGTTATTGCTCTGCTTGATTGAAAAACAGCTAAAAAATATATAATGCCATTTTAAAGGACCGAGTGCACTGCAAACACTATTTCCACATGATTATAGTGCCACCACGCACAGTCCCAGACACATTGAATTATGTTTTCATTAACACTGCAATGAAGTCAGATCTCAGTCTCCACTTCTAAACAATGAACCTCAATGAGACTTCAATAAACACAATGTGATCATTGATGAAAACATACTACACATCCAACCACACAAGAGTAAACATTGTATTGAACATTTCCACATTGTATTTAAGCTATTCTGTGCACAAATAATCTACTTTCAGCAGGGTAGTTCGGTGAAAAACTGCATTTAATGTTAAGGGGATTTGTTCCCTTTCACTGCCTATTCAGCACTATGGAAAACTTCACTATGACTTTATCCCTGAGTTAAAAAAATATATCTTATTATTAAAATAAAACACCATGTTGAGATGAAATAGCCCATGGTGAGATTTGTTAGTTTGTAGACACTTAATTTTGTGTTGATAACCTAAGATTTTTTTTCAGCCATGTGTGTTAAAAAACAGTGCCAATAACTATTACCATGTCATTAAGCTGTTCAAAAACTAGCATAGTGACTTTGATAAGTGGCCTAACTGTTGAACAGCTGTCTTCATCTGTGGTTCCCCCATATAAAGTAATATTATGTAATGTTATACCCTTTTGGTTTAGGATTATAATACGATGGTGCTACAATCAGACGTACTATAGAACAGGCTATTATAGTGTTGTAATTTGGGACCTGCACAGGCGAAAATCACTTTCTGCACCTGCTATCGAATGAACTTGGACACATCTACTATTGATTCACTTGCTGATAAACAATCTCAAGACTTCCCAATGAGGTTTGTGAGTGAGAAGTTGAAATAATAGGAAGTTTGTTTGTTTCTGTTTTTGTCGGCGGTGATGAATCCACTCTTTCATGTGGGCATCCAGCACATTGTGTGTGTCTGTGTGTGAGGTGTCGGGTGATTGTGCGCACAGGTTTGTGTGTGCTTTCATGTGTAAATATAATGATGAGTTATTGATTCAACAAACTTAGATTTAAATGAACACACCATTGCACTTCATAATGAGCTTTCGTTCAGCTGTGTGTGGTGAAGTTGAGCGGACGAGCTGATGGTAGACAGATGTATCAAAGTTAGTTGTCAGTGTGGCTTTTAACACAGAACCTACAAATCAAAAATGTTGTAAATTATGAATTGGGCCTACGTTTTAGTGCAAAAATACTTGGATAACTCAGTGTTATTATCAGCCCTACTATTCCTGGATCCATGCTGAGCGAGGACATACATCATTGAAGTGTTTATTCCAGTCTCGAAGCCCTTAAGTAATACAGCCTAGACAGGACATAACTTTGCTTTTAGGGGCTTTCCAGAATGGGAGTCTCTGATATATTCTAATCATATCACCCCATTGTGTAAGTGCGGCTACTGTCAGACTGATACTCCTACAGCAAAATCTGTGTGAGTGTGTAATGAGCAATCCTGTCCATGTGCTTCCTCCGTGGTCTTAGACTGACATATTGTGTTCAGCTAGGATGTATCGGCATACAATAATTGGAATATCTCCACCCCTTTGTGAATTATTGACACGCAGCAGTGATTGGTTTCATGGCCTCCTGAGAGTTTATTATAAGTAAGATTTTCTGTTTCAGACGTGGTGATACATTTGCTTTGATGCAGGGTGTCCGCGGGGTCTTACAAAGTATTAAAAGTTGATAAATCAATTTAGTGAAAATTAAGGCTATTAAAAAGTATTAAACGTCATTTTCCAAGGTATTACATTTTGTAGCAATGTATATAAGTATATACATTGTCCAAAGAGTTTGTATTCTACAGTTATCCTGAATGTAATCATTGCGTAGGCGTGTAGTGTGATTCTTTGTACTTTATTTATGGCATCCCGTTGGATCGCACGCTCACTGCTTGATAGCGCGCGAAGATCCGTTTACGCCGGTTGTTAAACAACATAGTTATGGGGAAATGCAAGTTTGCGTCCAAATGCTTGGAAGATAAGGAGGACAATCAATACTGTATATAGTAAATGTGAGGTAAAGTGTGTCGCCAATGTTAAAACTTCAAGTGGCAATGAGGTCTTAAAATGTATGGAAAGGGTCTTCAGGATTCCTGCATATACCCTGTGGTGGCAATGGCACTTTCATGAGTCCTTGTCCAAAATGGGCCTTTTTTCAAGTGACCCTATAAGATCATCAATAACATGAACCAACACGTGGTGTTTGCATTATACATATGTCCCTGTATGTCATTAACTTGATTGACTGTCTGCTTTGTAAAAGAAAATCAATAGTTGAACTGTCCAATACCTAACAGCTTCTCGATGCTTTCTTAATGGAAAGTATCTTATTACTGTACATTTTTTTACAAAACAACATAACCCTGCTAATGCTCTCTGTACAAATACATTTAGATCAAGGGCTCATTTGGCAGGATACAGTAACACATCATATTATTGATTATGTGTAGTGTAGCAAGAGCTGAGATCATCTGAGGCTCATTTCAGTTACGTTTTCGTGCGGTGAGACTGACATCTTGATGAAATGACTGTACATTACAGCAGTCCTACTTAAGCAGAGGGATATTACCATTGAGTCCTGTCTAAGATGAGGCAATGCTCCTAATTGAAATGTAGTTTCTGTCACTGTAGCATTCATAATGAATTGCCTCATTATAATCATGGAAGCACTCGTTATAAAGTCATGAATAATTGTTTTCAAAGATGTTTCCCTATGCATTCACAAACCAACAGGAAAAAATATATTCCCAAGTAGTTTTTCTGATAACGAAAAAACAGGAGCATGACATAGTTTTGTACTGTTGGTCATTTAAATCGAGATTTAAATACGATTCATCAAAAATAAATTATTATATTAAATAATAATGCTGCTTTATTCATTTACTATGATTTTCTCACATAAGAATAAACACAAAATGTCATAAACGCATTTAAAAAATATACCTATAACTGTTTTTGTGTCATTTTCAATTTACAGCTTAAATCATAACTCTGTTCTTTATTATAATTGTCAGTTGCTGATCTCTACAAAGTGTCATAACCTCCAATGCCAGGATAACACTATCCCATTGAAAATGCAAAAAGCCACAAGATTTCACTGTTTCATTTGTTTTATATATTGTGATTGTTACTCAACCATCTGTAATGACCTGTCCTCTCTCCCAGGTGACTACCCTGGTTAACACCAGCAGCAAAGGGCCATCCAGTAAGAAGAAGGGCCGCTCCAAGAAGGCCCATGTCCTGGCAGTGTCTGTTGAGCAGGCTACCCAGAACTTTTTGGAAAAGGGTGAGCAGATCGCCAAAGACAGCCATGACCTCAAGGAAGAGCTCATTTCTGCTGTGGAGGATGTCCGTAAGCAAGGTGAGTTTGTTGGATGTTCTTGCAGAGCAATATTTATTGTTTTACAGCTGTTGTATCTTTCTAAAGCAGCATCTATCATCAGTAAGGTTTCCTACTTGAGGTTAGTCTCTTTTAAGGTCCTTCTGTTACCATATCCAAAGGGTTTTGTCTGACTGTCTAACTTTTTTAATGTTTTCTGGAAACTTTTGAAAAGACACAATATTAAAGATCTGAAAATAATAGAAAAAAAAGTATATATTTTACATTTGGTTTTATTTACTTGAATGTCAGCACTCAAACAGCTCAGCTTAAAGGAGTAACTTGATGTACTTACTAAAAACATCTGACACCTGTCTCTCCTGTCTCTAAACAAATCTATTTTCAAAATGTCTATTACTGCTTTGCATTCAAAATGTAACTGTGTGAACACACCTTTTTTATTAAATAAAGGTTACACAATGTGAACAATCTGTGATATATGAGGTTTATAGGGCAGACTAAAACACAAGAACACCTTTGTGATACGTTACTCACTAATACGGCCATACTGAATGTGCCAATGTGGAACATAATGAACATGAAATCGTGCAGATTGTACAGATATATTTAAGTGGATCTCTAAATGATTAATATGGCTGGCACTATTTTCCAGCCATTTTTTTTCTGTGAGAGGAATGCAGTGCCAATGTTTTCTCTTGCATTAAAGGCAGGGAGAGTAATTGCTCTGGAAATTGTAATGTTGGAGAAAGTTTTTAAGTGCTCACTGCTCAGTGTTAAAAAGAACAAGTCAAATGTCTAAAGTTGTGTTTTTTGGACAGTTGTAGACAAGAGTGGCAAGCCTTCTAAGCCATTAAAAATAACGGCTTAGTACCCATTAGTTTCGGGCTATACTTGGTGCATGAACCTTCATGAATGTAATGAGCCTAATTATGGAGTTGTTTACCCTAAAGTCATGCATCGTTAAAGCTTAGACTGTCTGTGATGTGATGTGCCTTGCTGAATTTTATGACATTATAGAAGCCCAGTCTCATTACCAACAATCTGGAAATGTCAGATGTTGGTTAACACTACAACTTCTGCATGAACACATCTCTTACTTCAAAAATCATGCTCAATCTTTCCCGAGAACTCTGTCCGTTTCCAAAGTTTATTTTCTGTGCTGAGTGCAAGTCAGGGAGCCTTTATGCGAATCAGATGTTTGTCCCCAGAATGGAATTGGATTCCCTGTTGAATAGCTTCATCAGCAAAAAGAGTATAATGGAGCACAGCATACGGTGTGTTGTGTTGTTGCCGTATTCCTCATCCTGCACTGTCAGCTCCACTTGGCCGCCAATGCTGGTGAACACTGACTTGAATGCGTTGCTCTTTTCAGGCGTGAAATAGACTGTTGCCATACAGGTCACCGCAGCTGACTCAAAAAAGAAAAATATCAATCTTTCCACCTGTTTGGCATGAGATCCAAAGCCTAATGTAGGCTGTTTTTAAAAAGTTCATGGAAATGTTATATCTTAAAGCCATGTTTTGAACGTGGCACTTTTTTGCACTTGTGTTTGTATGTCAAGGTCAACTTCATTGCCAATCTTTCAGTTTGAGTGTACAGACAGAGAAATCAAAATACCGCTTCCCCCAATCCCAAAAAAAAAAATATGTATACAATTTGTATATCCTATAAATACACAATCAACACATGTATACATGTGCACAAGATAAAAAAACACAACAATCAATATATACAAAATAACAGTCGCTTCAATATCTCTGGGAATGTACATTAGTGCAATATTGAGTAATTACACTGCACTCATGAATAATTACACTGCACATTGATGGCAGGACTCTGCCCTTTGAATAAAGCAATGAATAAAACCCTGTACTTGGAAAAAACTTTACTTTGACCAACACTAAACTTGACAATGAACATTAATACTCCATATCTCTTAACCTTTAACTGCCATTATGAACATATGGGCAAACTGAAAAGCTCTTCTCCACAGAAGTGGGCTGCTGATGGGACTCTCACTATATTCTCTCTTTACACACTCTTAAGCCAGGTACGATATAATTACATGTCAGGGAACACCATTTTAGTCATATCATTAAATCTATGAAGCTAGAAATATGGCATGTTGACCAGCAGACTTTAACAGAATTTCTCCTTCAGCAGCAGATAGAGATGGCACCATCAGCCTAGTAAAGGTCATTGGGATATCAATTGTAGAACACCATTAAACATGTCATGACCTCATCATCCCAAAACACAGATGCTGAATTTAGATCAAAGAGGCGTTCATTTATCACACCCTTTCTATTCAATATCTCGCCAGCTCATCACTGTGGCACTACCAGCAAAAGTCTGTTTAATAACCTGCCATGTGTATGTGTGTTATCAGGGTGTGTCAGGTTGATGTTTTAATGATCTGATTAGGTGTCTGTTTCTGTCCCTTTTTACACAGTACACCTAACATTTTATTTTCTCTTTCACAAGATCTGGCCCGCTCACTCTGATAAAGACAAGACACATTGGGTTGAATAAACCATGGTGTACTGGAGAAGGGTTATGTCGTGTGTTTCATTTTTGAGGGCCAACCATTGACCCACTGCCACTTTGCTGCTGACCCAGCAGGAAAACCTTTAAGTTTCATTACCATATTCTCTCACCGATGGCCGGTTGTATGCAAACATGATAATACATATTAAAAAGGTCAATGTAGTTGGTCCCTTTTGGACATGGACACATGCATATGTTATTTGAGGCGAAATGGTTAAAGGAAAGTCATTACTAAACCTCTCTGCAACACATTATACACTCTCTAGTCATAATGATTCTGTAAGTTACAAGCTCATTGATATTTGTGGTTGTGTGGGCTTGCGCAAACTCGGGAAAGCCACTTTCTGATCTATATTGTCTAACAAAAAACAGTTTTATGAGCTCTGAATTAGATTAAGGAAGGAAGCGGTGGGCCTTTAATTGGTTATATACACTCCAGAGACACATAAAAACACTTCTTCAACTGGAGATGAGTAAAAATAAGTTGTATGCAGGTTGCACACTCAAATACACACATACTAATTTACTGTCTGCTCTAAGGCAACATATAATGTCACTGTTCCACTGACAGTTCTCTCCCTTTGCTCTTGCAGGAGAGGCGATGCGTATTGCCTCGTCAGAGTTTGCTGACGACCCGTGTTCCTCTGTGAAGCGTGGCACTATGGTGAGGGCCGCCCGCGCCCTGCTCTCTGCTGTCACCCGCCTGCTCATCCTCGCTGACATGGCGGATGTCATGAGGCTGCTGGCCCACCTGAAAATTGTAAGGGGGATCACCACCTTATTTTGAATGACATAATATGTTATTTTGCAAAATAACTTTTGTTAAGCTAGCATATTGTCCCTTATGGTATTGTGGTTGAGTAGTCAGAATACTTGATTCAACATATATACCGTATATATATATATATATATATATAAATGACACACTCCCCAATCTTTGTTGTGATTGTATCAAGAAGACTTGAATGCAAAGTGTTTTACTGAACTAGTAAGGTCAGATTTTAAAGAAGGGGCTTTGTGGTGTTGTGCAGTCCACATAGACAATGTATGCTTTTATCACAACCTCTGCACACATTAGCATATAGATGAGGCATAGAGGAGTATCCTGGGAACACACATCTGACTGTACTGTATGAATATCACACCATAGTGTCCTGGTGTGATTAACTACACATATCCATCCCACTCACTGCCTGAGTTTTTTAGTCCTTTATAGTGAACATTTCCGGCTTTGAGAAATACGTTAATGCAGGGTGGAAAGAATGATAAGCAAGTGGTATAATCTGAAACAAACTCCGGCTTGCACGCACTTTCATTCTCACTTTGTCCCTCTCTCACAAACACATACGCTCTCAAATTCTCGAGGCCCACGGAGGAGCTTAACTTGAGCCAGTATAAGCCCTGCCATCAAAGGCCACTGAAAAGTTATCCCTCTCTCTTCTCTCTTTCCCATTACATCTGGTGTGCCACTTTCATTAGTGATTGAAATGAGTTTAGAATCAGAAAGTAACTGCAAAAGGAAAGGAGATAGCTGAAGTGAAACACATTAAAACTGCACAACTTAACGATTATAGTGTTTTAAAAACCCGGCTGCATTTAAACAGCTTTCCATTATTATTTTACCTTAATGTATGTTGTAACAATTATGGCTTCGGGTTTATTACTGGAGTAAACTATATAGTACAACGCATGCTAGTTTTCAGATGCATCAAAATCGTTTTTTGGAGAGTCTGTATTTATATGTACGTGTTACAGGTGGAGGAGGCCCTGGAGGGGGTTAAGAATGCAACCAATGAGCAGGACCTGGCCAACCGCTTCAAGGAGTTTGGGAAGGAGATGGTGAAGCTTAACTATGTGGCAGCCCGGAGACAGCAGGTAACTTGAAGCCCCTTTAAAAGAAAAAGTAAAACACAACTTGTGTGTCACTTTGGGGTACAGGGTAGCAGAACACTTTTAATACTTTTAAACTTCTCTGTAGTCTGTCTTCTCACATCTTGGTGATTCCCTAACATGTGTAAGTCTTAAGTACAAAGTGCTGATGTCTCAAACTCAAACCAAGTGAGTGTGTTTATTTAAATATAGCCATTATCAGACTTCTACAGAAAATATACGAACAAAATAAATCTGATTGACTAGCAAGTGTTGTTTGGTGTCAAATTCAAACAACATACTGTATATGCATATCATATAATAATGTGCATTTCTACTGCTTTGCATTATCCGTCTAGGGTTGGTTTTCATAAACAGACACACTGCCACTATAATTTTATTAAACGATTCAAATTAAAATGTGGTTATTAGAGCAGACAAATTAACCTTATACCTTATATCTTCAATCCATTATTGAACTAGTAGTTTTGGGGTACTGTAATCAGCACTCGTAGTTAAAACACATTTAAAGTGGCTTATTTCATATAAACATTGATCATTTATGGTATATCGCTGATAAGCAACACAAAGTATTATTTGGATCATTTTAGAATATTATTGCAAGTGATTAGTATTGTTCATGAGGTTGTGCTGTTAACCTTAAAATGTACATTAAGTCATGTAATGGAAAATAATGTTTTTTAGTAGCATTGCAATGAAATTCCTCTAAATCAGCAGCCTATGAGCAGCTGTGCTTACTTCACCCAGGAGGATAAGACATGAAAGTGTTAGAATGTCTTACATGCCCCCCAGTGGGACGAAAAGCTCTGAGGAGATGTCTGCCTTCAAGTGTCATGTTGGCACGTATCCACCCCGCTGAACTGTCCCTGAGCAAAGCACAGCGCTGAATCCCATCCAGCTGCAGGGTCACTGATCTGCTGACGCTGCACTAACCTTGTATGGTTGGAACAACACCAGTTCATCAGATGGGACACAAACGCATTCTTTTGACAGGAAATATCTTGAACTGAGATCAGTTTATTCTCTGTTTGGCACTGTTGTGAATTCATGAGGCCACTTTTTTGATGCAGTGTTCTAACACTCACATATATTGTGTAGGATCTTTAATATTTTGTTAAGAAGAAGAAGACATACTTTATGAAATGTCTTTCCACACTCTGTTGTGTCAGACATTACACACACAGGGGAGGATATACAAGCACACACACAGAGGATATACATACAAGCACACACACAGAGGATATACATACAAGCACACACACAGAGGATTGCATGCACACACACAGAGGATATACATGCACACACAACCACATGCAGATAGGAGAAGTGGCAGAGCAGAGAGGCTGCCAGGTATCCGGTGCCAAGGGAGCAGTTTCAAGGTTAGGTGTCTTTCTCAAGGGCACCTCAGCAGTGGCCTTGGAGGTGAACTGGCACCCCTCCAGTTACCACTCAATATTTTGTTTCTTTGGCCGATCGGGATGTGAACCGACAACCCTTCGGTTCCAAGACCCAGTGCCTATAGACTGAGCCACTGCCGCCTTTTATATATTTAATTTTTTTCATTTTTAATATGCAATCTGTTCTTTTAACACTGAAACAAAATGGTGATTACTGCTTACGTGAGAACATTTATCACCTTCTCAGGAGCTGAAAGACCCCCAGTGTCGAGATGAGATGGCCGCTGCCCGTGGGGCCCTTAAGAAGAATGCCACCATGCTTTACACGGCCTCTCAGGCCTTCCTGCGCCACCCAGATGTGGCGGCCACACGTGCCAACCGAGACTACGTGTTCAAGCAGGTTCAGGAGGCCATCGGAGGCATTTCCAGCGCTGCTCAGGCCAACTCACCTACTGATGAGAAGCACGGCCATGCCGGCATTGGAGAGCTGGCTGCTGCCCTCAATGAGTTTGATGTAAGTCAGCAAGCATGCATTTCTTCTTTAAATACTACATTTAGCACACATATTGTATGTTCAGTCTCTGAAAGCATATTCATTAGCTCTTTAAGGTCATTATTTAAGAAACTGTCTATCTAACACTAAGCAACACACACTTTTCCTTTCTTCCTCTCACACACACACACACGCACACGCACACACACACGCACACGCACACGCACACACAGTCGCTCTCCATAAACATGTATTGCTGCTGCCATCTAGTGGTTATAAATTGATGGTGAACAATTTGTCCTTTAATATATTTAAGTCTGGTAGCTTTGTTGCTGTTTGGACAATTATGTATGTATAGATCAGGACTTTAAGATGGGTTTGGGATCAGGATCTGAAGCCCAGGTATTTTTTTTCATTTCAAACACCCTCTTTAAAATGTGTTGTTATTGCAAAAGAGTCTTGCAAAAATAGAAAACCAGGAGCACTCTCAGGTTAAGGAACACGTGTTTCAGTGTCAAAACAGTGCTGTGATTTTGTTTGCCATTCACTCTCTGATGCTTGATGAGAGCCCATTTGTGTTTGCCTAAACATGTAGATTTTCAGAGCATCTATAAATAGATGCTGCATCATTGCTTTTTAAGATGCCATTCAATACAACATCATTTCTTTAGGATACAATAATGTACTTCTTCCTGGTCACGTTTTATATCAGAAACACAAACATTTTCAGAGATAACCCTAACCCTACTCAGGCCTTTTTTCCATTCTTTAGCTGCAAATAAAGGCTTCTTAGTGATATTTAACTTGATAGCGTATTTATAATCGTGCAGTGTGTAGCCTAGGTAGCAGAAGCAGTTTGAATTATTTTCACACCTGTTCATATGACTTGCTAAACATCCCTTGTCGTTACTGGGATTTAAAGTTATATATTTCTCTAACTCTATCTGAATCTCATCTAATCTTTATGTCTACATGATTAAATTGGACATTTGTTACAAACCCAATGTTATGATTACAAATTACTGCAATTAAAGAAGACAGTGTGCAATGTGGATGTTTGTAGGTAGAAATGTCGTAGGTACTTAATCTCTACATTTCATGATATGAATTGCAGTAAATGCTCTGATTTGCATCTGTAATGAAAGCAGACGAGTTTCTCTCTTCTCTTCCCTCAGTCATTCTGTTTATGACTAACGGATTTACCATCATTTATTTATTTTGAGGTCCATAATGTCACATGTATTTATGTAATGCTCTGTTCAATGAACCACTTATTTAACAATTCAAATACACACCTTATCCTACTTACTCTAACAGTACAGTTTGTGTTTCAGTTATACATTTTCTTTGGTTATGTGTCATAGTTCCCCCCGCTCAAACACTACAATACTGTTTTCTTCTGGAAGGATGAGTGCAGTCTATGAAATATGTGCTGTGCTTTAGTGTTATTGATCCTTCCTGTCCCTAAGGATGCCTGTTTACAGTATGTGAGTGACCCCTTGTGGTCATGTTTGGAGATAGCAAGTTGCTTACATTTTTGACTTGCTACTGCTGTGAGAAGACATTTCACACCAGTGGTCGGCACATATATGTTTAAAAGAGAAAGTCTATATTATGGCCTTTGCTCCCAAGATTTTAAATGTTGCCAATTTTTTATGATTTTGAATAGTTTCTTTTATTTTGCGTATTGACTGGCTAATTGTGCCATTGTATTTGTGTTTTACAGATGTATTCGTCTGCCTGTATTGTCTGTGTTTTATCTTTCTGTCATGCTGCCCTTCTTGGCCAGGTCGCTCTTGGAAAAGAGATTTTAATCTCATTGAGTCTTTTCCTGGTTAAATAAAGGATATATAAGTGGGGTCAATCATACACATAAAAGGGCAAGTCACTTACAGATAAACTTAATACCTAGTTTCTGTTGAACTTGCGCTCATGTTATTCTGCATAAGGCTGTGGCCCAACGTAATCGATTGACTGCGTTTTTATGTAAAACAGTATGGCTTTTGTACAAAAGCAAAAGACCTGCATAATTTGATTTTATTCTGCAGACAGGCAGCAGTTAAATAAAACACATTGCCCTTTGCTTAGCCCTCTATGCTTGCCTGATGCCGGTGCTTGTTTAATTCCTAACTTACCACAGAGACACAGGCTACGGTGGATCGTCTCAGAATAGTAATGACCTGATATACTAGGCTATTAGCCTGAGGCATGGCTCTTACATGGGGACTGTGATGGGCTACATGTTTTTTGCACATGTACTTGTATTAGTGATGTGTTTGGATGGTAAAGAGCATGCACACATACAATGGTGCACAGAATGAGGTGTATATGCAAGTGTTATATAAAGATAATTGGGGCAGCTGTACGCTGTTTTCCACCTAACCTCAAACTCTCACATCCTCCTTTTTATCACTGTGCATCAACCCACAAGCACTCACATTTTCAGTTTGTTGTTGGATGATTGTGTTTATCTGTTTTGGGGGGCTCCTCCCTGTCTTAAGTCAGCCATGACTCTTTTAATATGATGCTGGTTTCAGTACTTTTGTTTATTTTTTGTCAACAATGTGTTGTATGATGGTGTTCATTTAATTGACTATATGGACAAGTTCTTTGCCAAACAGGTGTCATCCCATATTAGTTTTGACTCTTTCATTCTCAATGTATTTAACAGTGTTATTTAGACTAGAGCATCTTTCGCACAGACATTACAGGACATTAAGTCACAGAAAAATGTAGATGCTTGACTAAGCCGTCATAATCATTTACATGCGTTTCAGACATACTGAGGATTGAATAATTCCGATCATACTGTATAAAAGCATTCCTTTTAGCATAGACTGAGGAAAAGAACACAGAGAACCTTTCATCTGCTCTATTTCAAAGGCAAGAATGTGCAATCATCTGTAAAAACAGCACGGACAAATCAGTAAGAATAGATCGCCCGCTATGTGGATTTCTTTCCATCTTTAATTAGAGAAAACACCCTGAGGACACTGTATGTTCTGAAGGAATATTGTGGCTCATATGCCAGTATAATACTAAATAACAAGGATTTTGAGAGCATTGCCTCAACTGCTCCTGAACATGTACAGTCCGTGACACGAAAGGTCAGACACGATTTTTAAATGCAGCGCTCAGATGCGTGTCTATAGCTGGATTGAAAGGGCAGCTTATGAATAAGACAAGGAAAGGGGATGACCTCATCTATTTATTTTTTTCACTGACACGCAGAATTAGTTTGGAAAGCGTCACCTAAGGACACTGAGACACAATATCTATTAAGAGAGAAAGGGGAGGTCAACATCAGTTTGAGTTCACTTCATTTCAATGTCGCTTGGCATATAACAACCCTTTGACTTTAGAGAGGTCGTCATCAATATATTCCAATCATTTCTATTTAAAATGCTGTGTACCTGTCAATGTTTTTCTTGAAACATTTACTTCAATATAAGCAACTAGTCTATCATAAAGATAACATAGCATTTTAAAAACCTGTGTTGAATAACAAAGTGATATTTAAAAAAATATATTATTCAAACAGTAAATACTACAAAGAATGTTTCTAGATCACCCATGATCTGTTAAACCATTTCTCACAGGACATAACTGTTGATATGTTTTGTTATGTGAGCAGTTAGTTAAGACATAAGCTCATTTTCATTATTAATTTCAGTTAACGCATAATGCCATCATATAATAGCCAGTGCTTATTTAGTTAACATCACACCAACATTCATTTCATTTTGTCCAAGCGCTACTCTTGACTGATAAAGGTGAAATGTTGCAATAACAGTTGACAGTGGCAGCTTTAACAGTCTGGAAATATGTTTTAGTATTGGGTCACAGTCTGGGTTTTGGTAAAGGCGGCATAGAATTTGAGGATGGCCACCTTTTGAATTCACTATGCAAGAAAAGCCCTGTCATGTTAAAATGAAAGTCTTTATTTTGGTTTTCTGAGCTCAGTGGGAGGACAGATGGAGTCAGTGCCCTGTGGGTATGTGGGTAAAGACACACTGTGGTGCACAGCTTTTTAGGTCACAGTACACATACACACTGTAGCAATTATATTAGTTGTAAAGAACAAGTAAGAGTTTTTAATTTGACGTAGCACATATTGCAGATAATATATTTTTCAAATTGTAGGAAGATGTGTTTCTGAAGAGGACTCATCTTCATTAGTGAGCATTGACATGTAGGCAGGAAACAGACATAATGTAGCTCTTTCCCTCTCACCTTGTAACCATTTTCATATGCAAAAGATCTGTCTTTGTAAGCCTGTCATTCTACCGCTTTGAGCCTCCTTATCTTTGTACAGTCAAAAGCAAGAACTATCTGATACAGCCTTTTAAAACTGTGACACTGTTGGTCTCTCACACTTATTTGAAGTGTCACACACAAAGACATCCGCCTGTGAGCAGCAGCAAAGTGAGTACTTCTAATGGACCTTTTTTTCTGAAGAAATACAATACACTTTGACTCAGGTATTGTAACTGAGCTTAGGAACCATGCCAATACAAGTATACATTACAAAGGTCTTTACTTTTATACCTCTGTTGCTGATTCCTACCTTAGATGAGTCAAGGACAGCAGGCAGAAGATAGGGATGGCGTCTTTTAACATAATTGTGATTGCATCAAAGTGATTATTCTGTCCTCACCGCTTTTTCTCTCTCAACCAGCAAATTACATTTTCCTCTTTCTGAGCAGGGATAGACGATTGCATTGAACACATGTCAACGTTTTTTTTGTCAATTTTGGCCGAGCCCCGTGTTCTTTGTGTGTCACATCTGTTTTGGCAGGCTCAATGCAAACAGGTGGTCAAAGGTGCAGCTGTTCAAATACATAAGCCTCAGATTTGAAGCATACAGTATATGCATAACATGACCAGCAGATGGCAGTGTTTAATTACTCTCAACACTTGTCCATCCTTTCCCTCTCACTTTCCATTTTTATCCTTTTTCCTGCAAGTCCTTAGAAACAGAGATTCTCAGTCAGGCTCATTCTCCACTCAAAGCAGTCTGTATTACCTTGTATGGCTTTGTGCTAATCATGAGAAGGATGCTATCGTCTGATGCTGCGACAGTCCTTGAATCAAGCTTTGTCAAAAAATAATTCAGTGTTAAAGTTCGCCAGATCCAGCCTTACACATTTGACCCCTCAGCCCACATGCGTAGGATATTAATGATTTCCTTTCTTCCACAAGCCTGCAAAGAGAGCACAATGCAGTTAGCACTTCTCTGTTGTTCCTTTTCCTATCCAAGCACATTTGTCTGATCACAACTCTCACACACCTGCAGCTATCCGACATAAAAACTCAAGAGAATGGTTATAGTTGATGTTAATGTATTGTAAACACACACACACACACACACACACACACACACACACACACACACACACACACACACACACACACACACACACACACACACACACACACACACACACACACACACACACACACACACACACACACACATACACATACACATACACATACACATACACATACACATACACACACACACACACACACACAAGCGCAGACACACACCAAAAAACACACAAAGTGCAGACATGCATACACT